TAATAATAATAATAATAATAATAATAATAATAATAATAATAATAATAATAAATAATAATAATAATAATAATAATAATAATAATAAAATAATAATAATAATAATAATAATAATAATAATAATAATAATAATAGAAAAATAATAATAAAACAACATGTTATTTAGAGGCAAAGTGACTCTTAATGAAAAGAAAAAGTATTGATTTATTTTTTTTTTATATTGATTAGTTGGTGAAGCAAAACAGTGAAGCTTAATTTTGTTACAAAGTCAGTGTACTATTCAAATACTGAGTATAACCTAAATTGAAATATATTTCTACTGGAATATATTTCCATTAATAATAATAAATTATTCTTGTATAGCACATACTGCATAAATGCCTTGAGGTTCTTCACTTTATTACCGCACTCATTGGGATAAATGCCAAAGGAACGCTTTCTCACCTCCCTGGAAAGGCATCCCACAATGCAGCTCATAATCAATAAGAGGTTAAATGTGTTGACAGCTGAAGGCTAAGCTGAATTGGGAGTCTAATTAAGATCTGTCTACACTATCAAATTTTCTTTGACAAACCTGTTTCATGCCCATATATAGTCATGCCATTCCTATATATGGTCATGATGTGTGATATGATCTTGACTATAACAGGCATGTCACATGTTTTTGTACAGGGCTTCAAGTACCATAACACTTCAGTATTAGCAGTATTACTAAATGAATACAAGATAGTACAGAAGCTCAGATAAGAAAGTATAATACATACTCCAAGTATGTATTATTTCTAGTACTAACATTATTGACAGCTCCCGAAACTGGTTTATCCTAATGTTTAAAAAGCATTCGCTATACATAGACTACACCCTTTGCTTAACAATGGGCTCAGAGCTTCGAAAGAGCTTTCTTTGTTTTTGTAGGCATCTTTGATCATTAGAGTAAGAATGCTTTGATTTTTGTTTAAATCACTGCTATGTCACCTACTAGAGGTAATGTTTTGATTGGTTAAACACTTTTGTGCATATAAGCTTTCTAATATGGATAATTTTTTCATTCCTGATGATGACATAATTAATGTCAAAATATTGAATCCCAACACGATGGCGTGTATTTCAATACTTGGAGTATGTATTATACTTTCTTATAGTACAGAAGCATTGAAATAAAATGAGGATTATTGGATTGGATTTGATTTGAACAGATTGGATTTCTTTGGTGTAAAACAAACCATGATAATCCAAAGACATATTTCTGGTGTGGTCATTTTATGTCTATGTGAATTGGTCAGTACACCATGAGACAATCCACTATTCTTTTTCACATGCACATGGACCACATTGCACACAGGACCAACCCATTCAAAGTCTGTTTAGAAAGATAATGCGCAATTGTTAACTTTCTTTTCAGCCCTCCAGCTGAAACACAATGCCATTGAAATAGGGAGCAAAGGCCTAAAAGCATATCCATAGTTCACAACACAACACACTTTTGTTGCTACCACCAGTATAGACAATTCAATGAGCATGCTGCTCTCATACTAAGATAAGCTGACAGATATCAAAAAATACCATAGAAACGACTACTGTATTTGACAACTATACTGTACCTCAGCTTTCTTCAGCTGTTTCTTTAGCATATCCACCTCTTCACGTAGTTCACGAATAATCTATTAAAAAAGGTATAAATGAGCAAATAATTAAAACAAAAGGTTTCTTTCACATCTGAAAGAAGTTACTAATTACAGGATGAGATTAATTGTAACCCCTGATTGACATATGCAGTTTAATAAAGTGCTCAATTAAAAAGAGAAAATAAAGCAAAGAATGTATGACAAATAAATACTAAACACAGGAGCAAAAACTATATTGGCATTTTTAAAATAGAAAATAACTTTGTTTTTTGTTTACTTATTTGATGTTATAATGCTTGTATGATTTTTCCTAATTATTCCTGCTTTAATTAATATATCTGATTTTATCAGTCATATTAAAAATTTTTAGACCATTACTATTCCACAATGGTACATGCTACAACTTTTCTGATTGCAGATTTGGAATCAGCAGCAAAAGATGTCCTACACCACAAAATCTGAAGGTTATAGGCTCTATACTTCCAAAGATATTAGCATAAGAAAATCAAGTTAATTTCACAGTGCACTAATTTGTGCCACGCCCCCTTTTACATCAAACTGCCGCTACGGGAAAACAAACAGGAATTGGAGTCTAAAAATTTCAGGTTTTTCAATTCACATGAATAACTGTCAGTATAAAAAATTTTAAAAATCTATGATCCCATGGCATGGAATTACCTAAATTTAGTTATTTCCGATTATGTTACAATATGTGTAGTTTTCAACATAGCATCTAACCATGAAGGAGCTGAGAACCAAAGCTGAAATTTGGTGTATAAGTAGATCTAATATATCTGGTTAACTGGTGTAAATTTAAGAAAAGATTTTAACTGTCCACATGATGAACCGTTAATGGTAAACATAGGCTTTCTTCACTTTTTTAGGGCTGGTCCCAACTTTGAATGGATGCCATTCCATTTTAATTCATTTGATCAGCCTGTGCTTGCTTGTGGCTAGAGGCAACTACCCATAGATAATATATCTCTAATTTAAGATGTATACACCCAATCATATGGACACAAGGTGACATTGAAAATCACAAAAAAATTGCGTTGTTAAACAAAGTGGCTATTTTGAGTGCAGATAACTTCAAAAGAGAAGGAATAACAGTTAATCTGTTGCCATATTTGTGTAATATGGGGGAATATAAGTTAGAATACCAAGTTTGACCTTGATAGCTATTACCAATCCTGAGTTATAAGCTTCCAAAGTTGGAGGAAATTGCATTTGCGCATCTTGAAGAGCCACGCCCCTTTTTAGGGGCGTCAATATCTCGGAAACTACATATCCAGTAGGGCTAATCTTTTGTGTATGTTGATTTTTCACATAGTGGATCATTTTCAAGAAGTTTCATAAACATCGGAGACGGACGGTCGACCTGGGACCTCTGGTTGATTTGACACGGAATTACCCATTCATAATTTTCACTATTATAAAAATATTATTTGAATGGAATGTATCAATAAACTAAAGTGTTTTGCACATTATTGGTGTTAAATATTTACTTGTACTTGAAGAAAGGACATACAGTTACACAAAACAAAATGGGATGTGTGAAACATAGACAAAAGCAAACACATTACACTCTATACCATGACTTTTAAAAAAATCATACAGTATTAAGATAGTAGATATTTTGACATGTATTTGAAAGGTTTTTGAAAGTGGTTGTTTACCTTCATGTACTCATCTTTTAGGCTATTGTAGATTGCCTCGCATACTTCAGGAATTAACCTGCTGAGAGACTGCTTCGAAACCCTATGTTGATAGGCCAAGCTTGTGTAAGATTCTCCTGAAATAAATATTAATTCAAATACTGTTATAAATAAATACCTCAAATACCTTTTAAATTAAATTTTCTCATTTATTGATTTTTACTCATTTTTCAATATTTATCTTTCGATTTTTTATCTCTCTGAAGAATTTTTTATTGTATGTATTGTGTTTTTCTTGTAAAGGGCCTCCACTCGACAGTGATTGATTTTACTTTTGGAGTGTCCTGTCTCTGTTTTTTGTATTTTTGTGATTGTTCCTTGCCGTTTCTATTTATGTACATTCTAATTGTTTGAGACAAATAAATGAAATGAAATGAAATGTATGTTATATTGATTATTATTATTATTAAAAAGCACTTATATAGCACCTTTTCAAAAAAAAAATAAAAAAATCAAAGTGCTGTACATTAAATAAAGCAGGAATCAATATATCTGAATTGATCATGTAGAGATGATATAAAGATTTTTGAGAAATAACTAAGTATATACAAACTTTGGATAGTAATTAATATTGTGACAAATGTTTATCATAATGTTACTAAACAGCTGGGCTCTATATTTTTGGAAGATATAGATTTAATATATCACATAGTATTTATTATATATTAGAGGTTTTTTATTATGGACATCAAATTCATCATTGCTTATTAATTACAACCTCCTCACCTTTGCGTTTGGATCTTCGTTGATAACAGCATGGTTGACGATCCTCTTAGCGCGATCAGCATAGCGTAGCGTGGATAATGTTTCTTCATAATTGTCGCCAGAGGGACTGATGGTTGCTATCATAACGGTTTTACTGTTTCCTCCTAAACTATCCTGCAGATTAAAAAAATGTTGTGAAATGTAAGTTAAGACGATCTGCAATAGAGGTAACAGGAGTATGTCTACAGTGACACAACACATAGCCATGTGCCTATAAAATACAAGCCTCCCTCTAATTAAAGACCTCTCTAATTAAAGACCACCTACAATTAAAGACAACATTTCTATGGCTTTCAAATTAATAGATGGAATATTTATTAATATAATATTATTCTAAATGGAGACCAAAGCTGCTAAAGACGCCCGGTCCCAAAAGTGGTCTTTAATTGGAGGGAGACCTGTATGTAAACAAATGTATTTTCATTCAACATTAGACCAAACATCGAATGCAAATCTACTTGTTTTGTGTTGATAAATTCAGCTTTTAAGTTTAAACTGAAACAGCCAACACATGTTTTTGAGAAATTAATATATAAAATGTATGTGACAAAATCATTATTAACATTTTCATTATCATTACATTATTATCATTATGTTAATTATTATTAATATTAGTTAAGTTTTGCATGAAATAGTAGCAAATGCCTATTTTTAGTATTGTCTCCCTACACTGTATGTAGTAGGTTAGTTACCATTAGTTTAAAGCGGATCTTGTTTTTAGTGTAACATCTACAACATAAAATCAATCCAGTTTTATTGCAAAGGATGTCGAGACCTCTTTTGGAACACGCTATATAAAAATGGCGTTAATATGATTAATTCGCCAGAATACTACAATCCCACGATTTGAATATTTGGCAATTTCAATGAATAATCGTAGCTTCAATCCGACATGTATGATAATACCAGAAAAATAATTATCATAAAATAATTACTTGGCCTGAATGTAGCTTTGTGAGATAGATTAAATTAAATTGTTATTTTACCTTCAATAACCATGTCAGAACTGAGTCTCTGTATGGAACAAAATTTGTTTTCCTTTTGCCAGCAGCCTGTTCTGCTAAAGCAGAAATCACTAGGCCTAGAGTGGATAGCGATCTACAAACAATAATGAAGAACAATTCAACAAAAAGGTTAAAATTATTGTAACGCCACATATCATATGATTTTGTATATTTAAGATACATTATTATGGAGATATACATATAGAGAAATTAGGAGTTGATTTGATTTTATTCGCTAAGATCTAAACACCGAAAGGTCCACTGATTAATCTCAGATAAGAAAGTATAATACATACTCCAAGTATTGAAATACACGCCATCGTGTTGGGATTCAATATTTCGACATTAATTATGTCATCATCAGGAATGATGATCTAAACACATTCACAAAAAAAAAATTTAAAAAAAATACATATAAAAAAATGTAAAAAACCATCGAAGACCAGGATAACCCAAAACCCCAAAAGATGGCTTATTTCCATTGGGGTCCAACATCAACCAACATAAAATGAAAAAAAACCAACAGTATAAAACAATATTTTTTTTCTCAAGTTTCAAACATGGAATAAAATGCACATAAAAATATAATAAATATAAAAAAGCCAATAAAAGGAAAAAGATAAGAGAGAGAAAACAATCAAGGCAATTTAAAATTTAGGTATGACTATTATTCCCCACCTAAAGTATTTATCTGAGTTTTCAAGGAACATCTAGAAAATACCACAAGATTTCTACAGTACCTTCTTTTTAGCACATACATGTGCCATATCTTATCTAAGAGTTTTTAATTTCCTTATTAACTGCAGAATCTAGAATAATCTCCCACCTGAGCACGCATTTCCAATTTCAATCTTATTTTTCAAACTAAAAAAATCACTTGCTTGCTGAATCAGCTCTACTTTGTTGGATCCTTGGTGTATTTTTGTGTGATGTTTATATGTGTTAAGGTTTTTGTTGTTAGACTGTTTATCTTTATACTACTTCAAACTTTCAGGAGGCATTTTTGTAAGAACCAACAGAGTTTAATTTAATATTCTGCTCAAATTGTTTTTAAGAAAAATTCTTTAGCCAGTCACCATTCTATAGACCATTCCACTAAGCCTCCCACTTGGATAATGTTGGTAAGGGCAAAAGGCATACAATGGCAAGAGGTCCAACTGTCTTGGTTTTGCATGCATGCAATGAAACAAAAAACAATGTACTAGCACAAGATAGGGGGCACCGATTAGAATTTTAATAGAGTTAGAAATTTGAAAACAGGCATTCTTTACACACAGCACATGTTCAATATGACTGATTTTTACATGAATATCTTCTTTTTGGAAGGACGTTCATTTTGAGGTAGGATTCCGTTTCAGAGAAGCCCAACAGTGGAACCTCTCTCTACTCTATAATCTTTAGCAAGGGCCAAAAACAACAGCCTAAAATTTGTGGGAAAAGTGCATATTTCTGCTCCTGTTGTTATTGATCAGTTTGATTGGCACTCCAGAGAAGTCCATTAGGAGCAACTTACCTGTTGATGTTGTTTCCCTCCCTGAGGCGATCACCTGTAGACCCAGTTTTGGAGACCCTCTCACTACCTGCCAGATCCACAAGGCTTATCTTGCTCACCTTCTCCCCAGATATCTAAGGAATTTAGGAGGGAAAACAATACCAATGAATATGGTACAGGTATGAGGGCAATATTTAGGATACTTACAGTATAATGTAACAAGCTCAAATACTAAAATATACAGCAAAGAAATAAAATAAATTTATTCAAATAATGAATATAATTTAATAAAAATGCAGTCATGAACATATCAAAATCAAAGATTAAATGTAAAATCTGTAATAAAAAATAATATGAAACAAGTTCATGAAATTGTCATATTATAATGTATGTTAAAGATTAAGTAACAAAATGCCTCTGTATGCAGTTAAAAGTTTATTGGTTGTTATATGCAAGATCAGTGCAAGAATACTCTAATGTCCCTGTCATGGGCCACCTGATAAAAACTAAGTGGTAAACTTAATGGAATAGAGAAGGGGGAGTACCTGATGGAAGAGGCATGCATTGCATTAAAATAGAAAGATATACATTCTGGTAAGAAATATGAAACACCAATAGAATAGAGGACTGAAAATGAAAACAGATTTTTAATTTCGCAACTGGCATTATTTTTCATTACAGCCATCACTAGTATATAAAAGAAAAATCATACTAATGTTCTTCATTATTACACATGTGTTACTGAGGAGATAAAAATGCAACCAATCCTAGGAGTAGGAAATTGATGTTCCCTTTTGCGTGACTACAATATACATTAGACACAATTTAAATGCATCATTCGTCGACATTTTAATATGAATTACCTGGAGAACTCTTAAATGTCTACTTAAAGCAAGTCTATGTTTCCTAATTTATTAAAAGACTTATTTCAAAGCTGACTACATAAGGATGAAGCTGATTCTCTAATCATATCCGAGTACATGGTTTACGAGGACACGTATACATTAGACAATCACAGATGTTTATACTATAATTCTACACAAAAAAAACTGTTTATTAGGCTCAATTTTGTTTATTAAAAATATGCATTCAATATGAGTAGTATCTCTCACTGGTGAATTTCTCAATCCTTCCAGTAGTGGCACTGGAGATTTCCTAACAAGGGGTCCAACCATGGGGACCATCTCCATCTCAGTCCCACCATGGATGGAGCTGAGGTGAGCCGATTTTTAAGAATTCCTAGATGCCTGGGAACGGCACTCTCCAGACTGAAAAATTGATTTTATTAGTCACTTATCAATCTTGTTTGTCAAAATATCAATAGTTTTAGTAATAATATATTATTGTCTATCATACTTATCATACTTTTTTATAAGCTATTAATTTTTAGCAATTTCACCAATTTTATAAATCTAATAATTTTATTTTACCTATAATAATTACCTCAATATTACAACATTTTTTATATCCATTATTTTAAACCAATCTTGTTTGCCCTTTCGGAAATGTAAAATAATAAAAGGCACGCACATGTGATAGGTGTATATCATTCTGGAATGCAAGATGGCAGACATTGAGGCTTCTTTCTGAGAAACAGTTTAATATCACATAAGTGCTTTACTGAATTCATAACTTATTCAATGACGTCTAAATATTTTTTTACCCATACAGTACATAGCAACTATGTATTTCCTGAATACAGATATCAAATTAATAAATCTTACATCAGATTAGACTACTTACTATAACCATGTTATAATCATACATTTTTATCTATTTGAACAATATTTTAGATATCAAAACTAATTCTATTCTACAGAGTACAGCTTCTATTTTTAAAATGCAGCTAATTTTATTAATTCAATGTCAGCACATAAAAATATACAAACCATACAATTGCCACGAACTGTCAAAAGCATACTCAATTACTGTTGAAGACACGGTTGTTTCCTTAAATTGCAAATTCAATCTCAAAATGTTTTGTATTACGAAGGCCTATTCCAAATTTTTAAACTTTTTCTATGTATACTGCTTTTAATATGTCTTTTGTCTATTTCAACCATGTTTTATTGACTCTAAGGATCAAATGTTTTGAGCCCTAAAATATCGATTTTAATTTTGATTTATTTCACAATGTCACATTCACATGTGTGATTTACAAAAGTAAAATTAACGTACGCCCATAAATATGAAAATGATATAAAAGAAATTATATTGGAAGCAATACTTTTAACATATAACCCTTTTAAATAATGGGAAAATTAATTCTTAACAACAAAAAAATAGCAAGTAATATTTCTTAAAGAGGCAGTAGTACCATGTAAAGATGTAAAGCTTGCGATGAGCTTGTATTCCTGCTGCTGGATATTACTATGTTAAGCACTAGTATTACAATATTTGAGTGTTAACTAGGCTAGAGGACGTGGAGCAATTGTGTTATTTTTTTCTACCTTAAAAAAAGCAGCATTATAGTGTCACATTATTAGGATTTGTCGGAGCAGCTCTCACATCATGATGCTTTTATGCTTAAATCAAAATTTCACATTTTCGTTCAAATTAAATGTTATATGCCTAAAAGATTTTTTTTTTTGGTGGTGAATATGCACTATAGTATTCATTTAGATCTTCATGGATGTGCATTCAAACAATCATTTGCATGGTGATTTTAAAGCTGTCTTTTCTTAATTTAATAATTTCAACCTATTGTAAAAATTACTAAATTTCAATATTCTGTATAGTTCATAGTTTTTCTGATCTTGGTTTTTTATCATTTTTATCACTATGATCAATTCTTGTCATTTCTTTGTAACAATTTCATGAAAAGAAATAAATATTACTTAATTACATACCATTAATTTACTATTAATATTTTGAAGTTATAAATTGTTTATAAATTTTCCCAATTGAAAATGCTTTTCTTTTGTACGAATGTGAGAAAATTAAAATTCATTTATATTCACGTTCATGTAATAACAGTTACAATGTGTTTCCTAAAAATTAGAAGTTGCAATTTATTCAAAGTCAAAGTCAATACCACTACATTCTTAAGCCTTGTCTAGCCTATCAAATATTGGCAAAAAGTGAGACATGCCTAAATCTGATCATGATGAAATCACACCATAACCATATATAGGCATATCATGACTATATATGGGCATACAACAATTTGACAATCTTCACAGAGGTTAGTCTATCACCAATAGACATCCGACTTATCATGACTGCAACACATTTTCATTTTGTGTTCGATCAATTCACAAGATTTTCTGTGAATTACCCTTCAGCTTAATCACTAGAAAATCAAGAATGGTGTCTGAACCGCAAGCTAAATAACAGCACATATTTTCCCGAAGGAACTTGTGCATCAATATTGATTTCTTTGGAGAATTGGATATTTATTAATTTCACATTTGTGCCATTTCAATTCCTACAACTAATTATGTTATAAGTTTGAAATCATCAAAGATAACTAAAAAATGTTTAGGAATTTTTTTTTTTTATCATGGCAAAAGTTGTTTGATTCATATCAATGGCAGTACCTACAATAAAACACCAGTGACTTCCAAAGGTCTAACCTATGTTTACCATAAAAAAGAAACTGACATACATATATCAGTAGTTATGAGTACTTTTAGTTAGCAGCATATTTAGACTATTATAATTATATTTTTGTACTTTTTGGGGTATTCAAAACAGTGCCAAAGATTTTTATAGCGCCAATTCCAAATCAATGATCAAAGGTGCTGAGTGTTATTACCATGGCCACTGCAAAACATATAACTGAAAACCTTCTGTGCTCCCTGAGGAGTATACTTAGTTGTGCCTTGCCGAAGGACACAAGCGACTTGCACAACTTGAGTTTCGAACCCATGACCTCGAGTTTGGTAGTCAAAGCAACCACCGATGCGCCAACTGCTTCTATGCGAATAGTGTAGTGTGGGGAAATCATTTCACAATGAATTTCAGTAGTGTGTCACCTCTCCCTTAATAAATCACCACTGTATTTCAAAATTTTAGGTAGGGGAATAAAAGTTTACAAAATTAAAGGTGCAAATTCGAAAGAAAGCCAAATGCGGCAGCCACAAAACCCTGTTTGGGAAAAGACACACATAACAACATGTAGGTATTCCACAACATACAGTAGAATAAGAAAGTAAGTCATTTGACGACAGTGACTATAGAAATTATTTGTGGGTTTTGGTTTAATATTCTTACTTATTTAAATTTTAACTTTCATTATTTTCTACCTTTAAGTTTCAATATTTATTTTTCTTATACCTACTCCATTACAATATGCAAAATATGTCCAGGCCTATATAATTTTATTGTATGAATGTAAAATAAAAATGATTAGGCCTATAATTTTCCAACAAAAATTGCATGCTATGTTTGTAAACCACTGTTATTTTAAGCTTCCATATGCTATCACTAATCCACTATAGAAATTAATATATCAAAATACAATATGGAAATAATGATACTGTGAAGAAAAACTCTTACTCCAGTTAAATTATTCATTAATTAATAAATGTCCAACAGGATGATGTACTCGGAAAAGCTGGTTTTACAGAGACGCAAACCAATAGACAGCATTATGAAAATTCATGCAAATTTATGCCAATATGATTAAGATTTTAAAATATTTATTCATTATAAATACACAAAAAAACCAAAAGAACACATGCAGGCATAAAAAAATTTGGACACAAAAACCTATTACATTAAAATGGAAAAAAATATGAATACATGATATAAGAAAAAAAAAATGTGGTAGGCATGCATTTATTACATTGTATATAAGCTTACCATAGCGACAACTTCACCATCATCCTAGAAATAAGACAAAATGGATAGCAAAGGTTCTCATTCATCACATAAATTAGCATGCAAGCCATGCTGCATGACGATGTGTTTAATGTGTCAATAATGGTCCTTTTTCATTTACTTATTTAAAGTTAATATAAGCCTGAGACAAATGTCTCTGTGTAACCTGATTTTGTATTTCTTTTCTCAATTTCAATCTCATTTGTTTCGTATTTCTTATTTGATATGTCTGGCATGTTTTTATGAAGAAAAGACCTAAAAAACCACTGAGCCATGGGCAGCCTAGATAACTAGATAGCATTCTCAGTCAGTATTTGGATCTTCATACAGCAACAATGGTTATTCAATATAATTGGGTATTACCTCAGAAATATTCACTATAGGTAAAGATGGATATGCAGTAGATATAACCAATAGGATATTAATCAGGTCATATTTTATGTTCACTTTATTTTAAATACTCTGCTTTTGAGTACACATCAACCCTCAATTTATTACATTGAAAGTTCGGACTTCACCATCGTCGATGCATACATACTTTAACAACTTGTTTAGGTTATACAGTACTGTGTTATAATGCCAGACACAATAATGGAAAGCATTGCTATCTACTAATTATATATTCACAGGCATATTAGAGGACATCAATAAATTCAGTCTTTGAATTTACACCATTTAATAATTTCTTGCTAACACTAACACAGTTAAATTATATGCATGCCAACACTATAGATGTAAACTGAACTATAATTACAACTTATACAATTATCAGGGGAGAATTTAGTGGGGGGGGGGGGCCCTGCTAAATTTTTGGGAGTCTAGAACACAAAAACTTCGCGGGGCCATTCCCCCAGACCACCTAGGACAGTATTCGATTGGCCCAACTTTGGCCCCTCTTTCGCACCACCCCCCCCCCTTTTGGACGTCTCTGGATCCGCCCCTGATTATTGACTACTCATGAGGGAAATGGTGAAATCTACTGGACCGGAGCCTACTATCTACAATAGATTGTAGGCTATGGTCTATGGTCTCCACATCACCAAAAGGAGCTATAGATTCCACCGTTCTCCAAATCTAGAGCAATCAAAACTTGTTTATATACCTCATACAAAGATTCTACGAGGCCTAATAAAAGTAGAAAAGAGTACCCACCAAGTAGGACTGGGCTTTCTTTAGGCCTAGACGATCAAAGGGTATATCTCTCTCAGCGTCATAGAGGTCGCGCCTGTGCATATCATAAATTACATAGCAACGTGGGGCCTAGAGATTACATCGCGGCAGGGCAGAAAAGTACTATCACTTAACATGATGATACTTTTGTCCCCAGGAAACTATAATTCAAACCTACGTCATGGCTGACGTTATTACCCGCTTTTTAAACAATCAGATGCCTAGAATCTATGTATGCGGCATAGAAATATTATTAGCAATATAGTTAGTATTATTAAATACAGATTTTTGAATGCAGCACTCAAATTTAAATATACTGTACATTGTTCTCTTTATCAAAAGTTACACCAAAAATGTTGTTTCATTTATAATTAGGTACAAGAAGTAAAACAATTATGGAAAGGGAAGGTTTACTGTAGATACCAATGTCTCCAGACCAAATTTGTTGAAAGTAATTAATTATGTATGCATAAAAGTTATAAGGTGATATAATTAATTATATAATGCTAAATAAAGTGGATAATAAAATGGAAAGAAACCAATAAAAAGTTTATTTTTCTTCTTAATATCAACAAGCTTGTCATTATTTCATTTGGCAGACAACCCCTAATGTAATATTCCCTCATGCTCATTACTAGAGTTTCGCACAGTGAATGCAAGATGATGAATAAATTAATGGTTTTCTGTCTACGTTTAAAAACAACAGTACCAGTAAATATTCTGAACTAATATTATGATCCATTGATGATAGTGGACATTAATTAACTAAATACTGTTGTTGAAGAGATGTCCTAATTTTTGTAAAAGCCTGCTCTAACATTAGGAGAATTTAATGCTTTTACTCCAGGTGAAAATCACATTCACCATGATAAAAGGTCCTACCTCAATGAAATTCAAACCGTAGGTCCTTTATATTGGAAAGATATTATCTTGATGTTATGTCAAACAAAAAGTGGGATTTAACGGGAAAAAAAAGCAACTTTTATAACCAGTTTTTAGCCGCTTGTCACCATCGATTGTTTCCCTCGAGAAGTGACGTCATGAGGCTGGAATTACGATGTGCCATTTCCATCTCTACAAAACAGATTAGCTAAATGATACTTTCGCTAATACTAAACAGCACTGTATCACAATGCATTTTGATACATTATAATTACTTAAATATGAAGATATATTTTAATCATACAAATCTGTGAAAGAAACTATCAATACGTGTGAATATAAAAATGAATGAATGTGGCCTTTCATATAAAATAAACTAAACCCTCAATCGGATCGCTTGAGTACCATCACTCTACACTTGTTAACAAATATTGATCCGATTAAAGGTGTAGTTTATTTTATATGGAAGGCCACATTCATTATTTATTAAACTCACATGTAATAGTTTTGCTTTAGATTTTTTTGAGATTTGTATGATTAAAAATACATCGTCATATTTAAGTAATTATAATGTATCAACATGCATTGTGATACTGTTATCATCAGCGAACATATCACTTAGCTAATACCGTTTGTAGAGATGCAAAAGGCGTATCTTTATTCAAGCATTGTCACTTGTCACTTTTCGAGGTAAACAATCAGCGGTGACAAGCGTGTAAAGCCTAGATATAAGGCTGAAGCCTGGTTAAAAATTTTTTTTTTTTCATTAAATCCCATTTTTTTGTACGACGCAACATCAAGATATGATCTTTCCAATATATAAAGGACCTACTATTTGAATTTCAGTGAAGGTTATTTTTGACTGGACTATTTATATATTTAACTTTCCACTTGATGATAGGCAGTAAGTTTTCAACGTGTTGGTATGATGGTACAATAAAAACTAAAACTTAGGGGTAATTTCTTGTTGATAATAAAAGTTGCTAACTATTGTAAATTCCTTTTTTTTCCCCTAAATGAATAATATAATGTATAAAAAAACATGAGGCTCTGTACAACCTTTGAACTTTACTTGGCATTATAGTCTAAGTAATGAACATGCACAATACTCTACAATTATACTCAGATGACAGTCTTGAAGACAGCATTATATAAAGAAGGCAGTATACAAAGTCAGATGCTATCAATTAAACGTGTGTTGCCCAGTCAAGTTATCAAAAACTTTACATGCCCATAACCTAGCAGGTTTCTATGGCTAAGCCAAACTCTACACTGATACATCAAATTCATTGCTTCCCTTCGATCAAAAAAAAAAAAAAAAAAAATGATAATGAAATTCAAAACAAAATGATGATGAAAAGGTTAATAAAGCCAATAGATTAATGGGATTTATTAGGCGTGTTTTCACTTACATGAAACCTGATGTATTTTTGTCGTTATATAAGGGTTTTGTTAGACCGCATCTTTAGTTTAGATTTGTGGTTTGGTGTCCTCATTTAGAAAAACATAGATCTTATTGACAGTGTCCATCGCAGGGCTACAAGACTTATTCCTAAACTCAAGGGCCTGAGCTATCCTGACAGACTCTGTACTCTAAGTTTACCTACACTTGCATATAGAAGGTATATACTGCAGGTGATATGATCAAAGCTTACAAACTCTTAAATAATAAATATGATAAATCTGTATCTAGTTTTTTGCACCTAGACACTTTTGATAGAACTCGTGGACATTCACTAATTATTAAAAGAGCAATCATGCATCGACGCGCACAGGTTTTGTTTCAACAACCATATTGTTGACAACTGGAACGCTCTTTACTGTTACTGTTACTGTTTATTCATCATTATCAATAAATAATGAAGTTCCAAGTTCCGAATGAAGTTGTGACAGCAACCTCCCTCTATTCGTTTGAAAGAGGATTAGATAAATTCTGGAAGAATCAACCAGTAAAGTTATATAGAGGACTTTAGTCCTGCATCCAGTACATCACCTAAGTAAACCTAAGTAAGTAAACCACTTTCATTCTAGAATAGAATGCTTCAACTCCAAAACAACTTTCATTTTCCAAAATTGGTCAAGCTACAAAGAAATGAAAACTGAATACGTTAACTCAGAGATGAATTGGTAACAATTGGTCTATGTGGTACAAACCGTTATATACCAACTTACATTTGTTTCTATGTCCAGTAGAGTCTGAGTAAGTGTTATGTTGAATACTGCATGTGATCGACTGCTCTCATGGTTCATGTTTGTCGCTGCTACTGTTCTTGACTTGTTACCTTCAGACATCAAGGACTCAATATCCTTAAAATTAAAAATATAACCACAATAAATATGAATGAATTCAAATACTTTTTTTTTGTACAGTTTTGTTTGGTGAATTTCTGTATTGTTTGTGTATTTTAAAATTTTTTTTCTAGTATATGTAAATGCTTTTCATTGTAATGCAACAATTTCAGGCTTGTTTTGCCTTTTGTGATATTTTATACCCGAATAAAAAAGAAATTAAAAAAACCATATCCCAATGTAAAAATCTTGAAAATGAAATGGTTAAAACACTGTCATTTCAAAACAAATTCAGGCCTGTACACAAGAGGAGGGGGGGGGGAGCTCTAGGGATTTGGATGAACTTGTTGGCCAGTTTACTGTTGTAGTATTTTATCATACCTTTGTTTTTTAAAGGAATACTACTGAGTTAATACTTGGTCTATAGGAAACCCTCCTTTCCCATGAACCTAGTTACAGGCCTGAAATATAGCAGAAGCATTTTGCATTTTGTAAATATTGTTTTTTTGTGTTTTATTTCACTTTGAGTAGCATCTATAATCTTAAAACATTTAATATTGTATGAACCTTGGATTGTTTTATATCCATTCTGTAATAAGCAACTTTTCTGTTGAATATATTTTGAAATAAATTTAAAAAAATAGATAAGGTTATTTGCTTAAAAACAGGCTGACATGTACAATACATGACTTGATAGATTAGGTCAATATTACTCAATCATTTTTGAGTGCACTAAATACAGCCATATGCTTTTAAAGTATCATCTTGAAGATCATCACGTTATCGTGAACGTCATCACTAAGTAATAAATTCCCCAATTAATTCTCGGCATAATTTGTAATACATTAATTTTTTGTTGAATGTGAGAGGTGGCGTTGAATATTCTATTATAAGGGCTAGCATTTTCATTTAGCTGAATGGTTGGCTGAGAGGTACTTTCCTGCTTATTGTGCTGAGCACCCCGGTCCAAAGCCGGACAGCATCAGGTTTTAATTGGAGTCTGGCTCTTCGAATAACCCTCATATTGAGATTTAGGCCGTTATATGTTTGTAGTTATGTTGCAAAGGTATTAAGTTACTGTAGTTACTAAAATCTGTATACAAGCTTGCTTCCTAGGTTTCGGCATTTGTTAGTAGAACACATGGAAAAAATTATCATTATTAATTTTAATTAATAACATAGTAAAAAAAACATAGTATCAAGTTTCAAATATTAATTATAGCCTATTCATACAAAAGATTAAACATATTGAAATCAAATTCAGGGACAAGTTTATGGTCTCTCTGCTTAGAGAGGTAATGATGCATTTTATTACACTGAGAAAAATCACACGAGTGAAGATAACATAGTAGATACGATTATAATATTCTCTTATCTGTGATCAACGTGTAGACTGAGGATATGTCAAATAGTTACTGATACACAGTAGGCTAAGAACACACTCATTAAGGCGGACAAGGGACAATACATGGCTGACTGAGACTTAACAATATTCAATGAATGAAGTAATTTCTATTGTAAACACAAAGTGTTTATGCTGTTATGGCATCTTAAATTGAAGTTCAAGGGCAAAAGCAAAATTACCACTACAAAACAATATGGTGAAAATGTGTATTTATATACAAAACTTAATTTGTATCCTTCCTTAATATATGCAAATTAGCTACCAGTAAAATAAAGTGCATAATGTGTTGTAACAACTTAAATTATACATTAAATATTATAAATAGTTTTACATTTAAATCTATTATGCAATTACTTTGCAGAAATAACAGAACCTGTCTGGACAGATAATGAGCGACCGCCAGAACTGCATGTCCTCCCTGTCTTCTTAATATAAATAAATCACCTCAACTAAACTTAAAACTCGGTGGATGAAAATTTATACAGAGTTTTTATATTCATTGGTTTAATTTTTGGAGTGCAAATGTGGCTTAGGGTACACTGGAAAAACAGCGGTCATATGTCCTATTACGGCAAGTGCAAGAAAACATGAATATTGTACAGTTTTGTCCATCACTGAAATAATATTCAATTTACAAGATCCATTTGTGATTGCAATTTGGCATATTCCTAAAAGACAATTATTTAATTATTCAGTAAATAAATAAGTATATATGAGTATATAAACTGGCAAATATATAAAAATTGTGCACAAGCTATTGACAATATTACAAATAAACTGTCCCAAAAAAACATTTTAGAAGCTTTGACCTGGATCAACATTTACTGAGTATTCCTAAGCACAAAAACCAAGGATATCAAAAAATGAATAAAAATCTGGCATTAAGACTTATTATTTTAAGTTAAAATAACCATAATTAATTACATTTAGTACAATCCAGGTGAATTGATTTCCACCTGGACAACAGCTTTTGATTTAGTATCAGATACGATTCTACTGCATGCAAGAGACAGACATGACAATAATAGACAGACCAGCGCAGTGAACCGTTAAATTGCGTGACAACTAAAAATGAATAGCATTGACTATATGGTGGCATATACTGTGTTTTGTATAATGATTGATATTATTTTATTATCTTACTTTAATATTATCTGTCCTTGAGTGAGGGGAATGGATCACTAACTCATTAGAGTATAAACAAGAATGATATACAGAGGGTTTTAATAATTATGGCATTCACTTTATTCCTGTTCAATGATAAATAATAAAGATATCAAATATATGAAACAACAAAGATAATGTCAAAAAATATTTGAACAAAAACGAAATAATATTATAAACAAAAATAATAATTTCAGTACAAATTACATTAACAAATTAACAATGATATATTGTAAAACAATAAAAACAATAACAAAAACAATATTAATAAAATTTTCAAGTAAATTACTGTATATTACTGAGACTTATAATTCACAATTAAATTTTATAATGTATATTTTATGCCTTTTATTTGTCTTAAATGGCAATGCAGAATCTAATAAAAAAAAACTGCTGAATGGACAGGGCAAAATATTCTTTTATATTTAGGTAGTGTATAAGATTCATCCTAGCATATCAATTTAATTTTAACAGTAATATAATAATTAATATGAACAATAGAAATAAATGTTATTTATGTAAGAAATATTGCCAACATTTCAAATTCATTTAATGCATTCTTTACATATTATTTCAGCCAAGGTTGAATTACTGATAAACAATTTTTAAAGGTCATAAATCTTAACAATAAAACATGTTTTAAAGAAATGTTGAAACAGGCACTTTCAGCAAATATTTTAAAGATTTACCTGCTATAATGCTTTAAGAAATTTAAGATGAAACTTACTAGATTAAACTTATAGCAAATCAATGCTATTTCAAATGTTAGATAAAATACAAAGATACAGATAAGTAGATGCTATGCCTGAAAGCATTCTCATTCAAAATTTTTAAGATGAAGCTATAAAAATTAAGCCAATCGATGTTTGTTTCAAATATTATCATTACAGTATGTAGTAAAAATATTTATTGGTAAAAACAAATTCTGAAAGCATTTTCAACCAAAATAAAGATGAAATAACAAGAGCTCTGTCTAGCTTATCAATTTTTCTTCAACAAAAAACTGTTGTATGCCCATATATCATCATGATATTCCTATACATGGTCATGGTATGATGTCATTATGACCATATTTAGGAATGTCACATTTTTTGTCACACAATGTTTCATAGTCTGGACAGGCTTAAAAAATGCTTCTACCGCTTCTATGTGATACCATTGGATATGCACTAGCTGATTTGCAAATTTAGACAACAGTGAAATAGATGAGAGTTTTTTATATTGTAGCAACTGGTATCTTTATCAGCTGTTAGTTCAAGGTTACCACACTCCAATATAATAAATTCACCATGTACAAGTATAAAATCCAATAGACAGAGATATGCTTCTCATCTATTCAACATCAAGCAGGTTTAAATCACTTGCAATGTATACTCTGGCCAAATACCTGCTAGGTTCAAACAAGTGACCTTTTAAGCTAGTGACAGAAGCTAATGATATACCTGATATTTTAGATTCAATATGTCTAATATAGCACTAGATTCAATATGTCTAATATAGCACATATTAATTCTTTCCGAGCATATATATTTAGCAAGGCTCTAATTTTGCTGCTTCATTCAGTAAATTTTTATTTTTAAGCTGCTGTTTATATTAATTTTACCAGCTTTTAAACTATGTGTTATATTCTATGTTTTTAGGAATAAAAATAGTAATAATTTCCAATTTTCAAGAGAGTGCAAAAAAAATGCCTGTGAACTCTCCCTTCCCCTACTGCATGATAAAATATAATAACTGTTATCGTTTTGAGATTATAGTATTGTCTTTCATAAATTCTTACATTAAATGATAAACCTGTTCTCCTTGAGTACAGTTTCGTAACTGGTATTCTTATGAAAATAATTTGATATAATGATAAAATTAATAAAATTAGATACATAGGGCTTTAGTATTTCCTAAGACAAACCTAAAGAAGTTCCAGTATTTTAATTTTTTTTTTATTCCTGAGCAATCACGGAAAAAAAAAGAATTAGTAACTGTTGAATAAACTCAACAGAAATTCTATGAAAACTTAATCAGTCAATTTATAGGACAAGGCTGGAAAATAGCAAACATACTATAAATTATAAATCAAAATTTTAAGTTTCATAATAAGTTGTTTTAATTAAATTGTAAATAACATGCAATTTGGCTATTTGCCACAAAATAATAATAATATTTAAGCATTTTATATATGACGCTCTTTAAGTAGTGATCAAAATAAACTAATATTATTATTATTATTATTATTATTATTCAAGTTATGAATATATATTGTTTTGCTGTTTCAGTACCAGAGTATATTTAAAGACCAACGAATATACTTTGCTTCCAACTGCTCTTATGTCAATTCTAGTTAATGACTGGTTTTTATCAATGTTCAAATCGCTTAGTGTTCGCGTATGTTTTAACACTGTACAGTGTCATTATTGTGGCTAACACTTACCTATTGGTAAGAGGGGGAGGAGGAAAGAACAAATAAAAAAATATAAGTCATGAATTCAAGTAAGGTAAATTCCACATGGCCCCATCAAAGTCACTGTACATTTCACATAATACAGTATCATCATGGCAAAGAAATAAATTATTAGTATTTTAATTTGACACTATTACCTTATATATAAATTGGAAAGGACTTGCTAATTAGAGCAAAGAATAAATATTTATCTACTATTCACCTGGAAGGAAGATACAGCCAGAGCTGAGAGGCCATCCACGTATGGACCGTAAATCTTGTGCTCTCGCACACGAAGTCCTTGCTTCCTATAAACAACAAGAATATAAAACAGTCAAATCTGTAGGAGCAAATGTGAAATTAAACATTTAACAAATTTATTAGATAATTAAATAGACAATAAACATATTAAATATATTGATGACAGTAATGATAATAGTAGACGTAATAAAAATAATAGTAATATAAGTAGTAGTAATTATAGTATAATATTAATTAACAATCTTGATAATAATTACTATTAACATTTTTTATAATCAAACAATTTATAGACTTTCTACATTATTGTGGATGCCTGCATGCCTAGGATTAAATGGATAGTTTCCTTGGAATTTATTACAAAATCACAAAAAACTTTGCCATGGAGAACATAACAAAACAAGGTGTGTGCAAGAAATCATTTTTAATAATAATCCGCTCAGAAGACATATCATCAAGCGCTTAAAGGGATTGGATATAAATTTGTTGTACGACAGTTGGCCAATACATTGTGTGTGGCTAAAGGCCTGTTTACACTATGACAATAACGATCTATTTGAATAGACAATATTATCCACAAAGAAAAAGGTACATCACTGTTCCTGTTTCTAAAGCAAAGCATTCACTGCGTTGTACGGTAATTGTACGATCGTCAGCCGATGAATTCAACTCTTATCGCCGTCTGCTGACTGTCGGTGGCAGTCTGAATGGAGAGTCATTAAAAATGATCTGTTGCGCGTTGTGTTGTTGCATTCTCCATAGAATTGCATTGGCCTACAACTGTCAGCAGTGAGTACTCGGTTTAAGTTGACTTAAATGTTCTTACCCCCTCGGATCAAGTAAATCTCTGACTTTCTCATTGTAGATCTCAATATACGAAACCTCAACTTTAAACGACAATGACTCATTACTGTTCTCTTCTGCAATTCTCTCAAATAATGTGTCACATAACCTAGGTGTTATTCCTTTATTGTCTTCTGTTCCCATCATAGTGAATGATTTTCCTGAACCTTAGTATGTAAAAAGATTGGAATTTTTTTTAAAGAAAACTGTAAAAAATACATAGTATATTAAATTGAAAATGTTACTAATAATGTACCAGTACATGATATGTCAAAGTATGGTTATGAGTCGGGTAAGTTTCATGAAATGAAATTGTGTTATCGTTAACACGAATAACATGTTTGACTGAATGGGTGGCGATTATCAATAAAGGTGAATGGTGGTGATAGGGATAAAAATAATGGTGATCATGGGAATGGAGATGGTGACAATCAGGTGGTGGTAGCCTTTCTCCCACAGGCGGTTTATCACTCCCCGAAAAGATGGACCACACCTACATCCCACCATGATGGCGATACAGGTGTGATAGTGATTGTGATGATAGTGATATTGATGATGGCGATGATGATGATAATGGTGATTTTGATAGCATCAATGATCATTATCATCATCATTTATATATCACCCCCATAATAACAATGGTGATTATGGTGGCAACAATGATGATGATGACAATGACGATTTCAGCGGTGGTGGCAAATTGCTGATGATGTTGCCAATGAAATCAATGCTGTTATAATGAATGTTACTGTAATGTTATACAAATGTACTGTACGTTATAAATGCAGATATTCAATATTATGTATGGAAACATAAAATACAAACATGTAAATTGCAAACGTAACCTCTACCTGTTTGTCCATATGCAAAAATACATGCATTATAACCTTCAAAGGAATTGTCCAGCAGATCCAGTCCAAGACATTCAAAAACCTTATTTTGTCCTAAAAAAAAAAAAGGAGGGAAAAAAAATCAAATTTATTAATCTACTGTTTATTATTAATTAATCATCAATAACAAAATAGAATTTAATGTTTATATGTATATGTGTCTATATGTGTGTATATGTATTTGTGTCGTTCGCGAAAATGATCAGAATAAACACAGCATATGTTTATAGGTGTAATTTTGCCCAACCTGACGTGGAAATGTACTGAATACAATTACATTTGAAAACAATTGCGAAAAAAAAAATCGCATATATATATGTATATATTCATGAAAACTATAGTATGTGTTATTTCACACTACATACTGGCTGCCTTTTTCATTTCTATACAGTAGTATGTGTCATTTCATACAGCATACTGGCTGCCTTTTAGGCAAAGTGTTTATTTCAAATTAATGGTCCTTGATTTCAAGTCACTGTCTGACCTATGCCCACAATATATCTCTGACTTTTTACTTGTATGTAAAAAGCAAACTCGTACCAGATCAGCTTTGAATGTTAATTTCCATCAACCTATCTTTAACAAGCGTATTGGTAACAAATTTTTTCCGTGTGAGGCGGATCTGGAATAACCTTCCAGTGCACATTCGATCTTCACCATCTGTGTCTCTCTTCAGGTCTAACTATAAAGACTCACCTCTTTAACTAATTATCCCTTTTTTACTATATATATATTTCATTTATTGCTGCATTATTTATTTATGATTCCAAACTTTGCCACTGCTTCTTTCGATTTGTTTACTTGTTCTGTGCTTGGGTTAGGCAATGATTACGGCTGCTTGTGGGTTGTGAGGTGCCTGAATGTGACTATTACTGTATGTGGGGTGCAGCGCTTCGTATCTGCAAAGAAAGGCGCTTTACAAATGTTCTGATTGGATTGGATTGGATTTCTCATAACAAACACTAAACAAGAAATATTTCCTATAAAAAAAATGCTGCAACATCTTTAACTTGTGACTGGTTTGTATTTCCAAAATTCATACTAATTAATGTTTACTTGAGAATGACCTTATCATCTTCAATGCATTTCTGTTATGCAGTGTTTTCAAATGTACTGAGTATTCGGTACATTTGCATGTCAGGTAGGGCAAAATTACACCTACTGTACAGGTATACAGTACATGTTTCTCCTGACGCAAATCCAGTTATTGTCTATTATTCCATCACGACAATAACAATTACTATCAACACTGCAGTACCCGCTGCTTACTTACACTCGAATTCAACCCTGGCCATCAGGCGCAAGCTCGGTGGTCTAGAGGAATGATGCCAGGCTAGTGATCTGGAGATCGTGGGTTCGAGTCCCACCCGAGAACAACTTGCGATTTTTTTCGCAACTGTTTTCAAATGTACTGAGTATTCGGTACATTTCCACATCAGGTAGGGCAAAATTACACATATATATGTTTCTCCTGACGCAAATCCAGTGTCTATTATTCCATAACAATTACTATCAACGCAGCATATGTAGTTTGTGTCTCTTCGTTAAAACGGTACGCGCTGTACGCGCACCCATTGTTAATGCACAAACTTGCACAAACTGTATTTTAGCTATGTGTTAACCATTGTAGTCAAGGGCGAAAACAGGCCTACAATCTTAGCTTATCGTGCTTTAATCACTATGTTTTTACGAATAATTCCACATTTGATGCACATGTATAGACCTATCCCAAGCTATACTGCAAGAAGGGTACCGGTATGCCTAGGTAAGCTAGGGAAATCTAATTTTTACATCTAGCCCTAGCCAAGCTAGGCCTTACCTAGCGATCACAATGATTGCAACGCCGCACACGCGTATTTTAATAACCCAATAAAAGTTTGTGTCACTTTGCGAAAACGGTGATATGATTTGATGGCGGCCTACTGTACGCTTACCTTAAAGACTTTCTTTAGCTGATAATATTAATATTATTTTTCAATATTTTATATTATTTATTTGTATTCAATTTTTAAAAATATTTTATTATTTTTATTATTCTACATCATTTTTATGCTTCAGCTTTAGATTGGCTAGCACCCCTACCCACAGCTCTTAGTTTGGGTGGCTACATTTTTTTTTCGGATTGTCAATAATATGGATGCACAACGAAGAGCTTACGCTATCCTTCTTCAGCATACAGCACCGTATCTTTCGAGACAATGCGATTTGGCCTAGGCTTGACCCTACTACTTGGCTATATTAGCTACCCAGTGGCTTAGCCTAGGTTGTGTCGTTAGTATCTGTGGTCATTTTTCATCGGATTGTCAATGCATACGTACGTACAACGATAGAGCCAAATAAATTGTTGTTTGCGATAATTTTATTATAATTCTCCCTGACGATTATATTCACTGTAGGCCTTCGATAGCCAAGGTTTTCCGACCGGAATTCTAATTATTTTCAATTTTCATTGCCAAGAATGATTGCGTTAGCTTGAGTTGCGCATGCTTAATCGTTGCATAAAAAAGTTCGATTTTTCCGATTTCTTTATCATACCCTCTTCGCAGATGCTGTTTGGTTTCTGAGACGTCTTTTTGATAACTGCGCATGCTCAACAGGGCTTGAAAAGTATTGGATCTAATCTAGAAATAGTTCCCTGAACTACAATCACATGATGGATATTTTACATGTGTGAAATAAATCAAGTGAGCCCTCGTGAGAGTTGGCAAACCAGCGTATCCTTGCCATATGTTGCATCTAGCGTTTAGTAGTTGGGGCAATCTAGTTATAAAAATGAGTCATTCCATGTTATATAGAGCTATTATATAAATGATAGCTTAACAACATTATTGAATGTGTGATTACCAATTACTTATTAATAATAGACAATCTTTAAAACAGATTTTAATACAAAATAATAAAAGAGACTTAATGGTTTAAATATCAGCTGACTGACAGATTTTCATAAAGAACTACAGTCTACTCTGTGTTCATATCTTACACAAAAGGGTATAAATTACAGTTGCATAAATGATTATAGGGTTTTAATAACAAATACATACTGTACACATATTTTACAATCACTAAAATTAGTAAAAAGGTCACATACAGCTTACTGGCTTTCATCAGTAATTAACTAGAACTGAACTGATTTTCAGGTAGACACAAACCCCCACCCACCCACGGTGGCGGCACCAGCGGGCGTTCAGAGTGGTGGAGAAACCTCAACCCACTGGAATAAGAATGATTTTTCACTGTCATGAAGTGTTTAGGGACATGAATGTTGGTCTTTAAAGGCTTATCTAGAATTATAATCATAAACAACAGCATCCCCATTGACTTGCTTTATGTAAACAAAACTGACATTTAAATCCTTTCTTTCAAAATACAGTAAGCCATGTTTAAAATATTGGTGGTGCTGAAAATACTTTTAAATGCTTTAAAGCCCATTTTTTACTAGGTAATATGGCACCTTATTAGCCTGGTCCTTCTTTACCAGGTTAGGACCATACCATGTATTTACCAAGGTAATACATCTACTGGTACTTCATTTTGCAGTGCACACAAATAGATACAGTACATAAGTTACAGGTACACGCACAATTATTGATATAACATTGGACATTAAAATCATTATTGACCATGTGTTCCTTTCCATCCTAATTAATTATTACCGAGACCACGATTAATAATAAGGGTTGATCAATGTTGCACAACGTTCCATCAGGAAAGCACGAGGCCTGACCTTTGTTTTCTGATGTATTATGCCCTCCGTATACAATTGATCCAGAGACTAAATCATTTCCTGTATATTATCTTTCCTTCCTCCTTTCCTTGAGTGAATTCCTAAATGTGGAATGAACTTCAAAAACCAGATTTAATGCCACATTTAACTACTGTCATACTAGCACTGTAGCTGTCTCTTTATTATCAAATAAATAAGTCAGTGGTGACATCATCACTTTTATTTGCACTGAATTTTCCTATTTCCGACTGATCGCTAATCAATATAGTGCCTCCGATTTTTTACATCTTGTGTACAAAAAAGCTCAAAGTTGGGGTAATTTTACTACTGTCTTACAATGCAATGGAATATTTCATTACTAGGCTAAATTATGAACACACATAGCGAACCTAACAAATCTTGCTCTACAGTGCTTGTTAACACTGAAGCCTAGACCATTTTAGGCATAGCCTAGATACAGTAGGAGTAATGGTTATGAGATTAACAAGGTGACGGACTTATAAAACTGAAAAAAATAAGGCAACGCTGAAATAATTCAAATTAATGTTTAGAATCTATTAAACAAGTGTCTACCAGGACGTTAGGCCTATCCTAATAATCAAAATCAATAATATTAATATTCATTTCCATATTGCCAAGTATCGCCAAGAGCTGTGCGAAGAGTATCAGTGCACGTACCACTTGGTACACTTAAATCATTCTAATACGTGCAGCTACTGTAATGCACACACACAGTGATTACTGTAACTACAGTAAGCAACAACCACTTTGATGGATTTATGATATAGGGCCTATAGCCACTGCTCTACAACAACCAGCAGTTTAATTATAAAAGGCCATAGAAAAGGTGATGGACGTCACAACTGAGTTATAAAGCTATTATAGTCAAGTAATTTCGTACAATACAGTATAGGAAATAGAAGCCTTAGGAACCATTATTTCCTTTAAAAAATTCTTCAAGAAATAATATGGCTCCTTTGGCTTCTATTTCCTATAGTGTACTCAAAACGTGTATAATTGCTTAATATTAACTGACAATACTATTTTCAATAAATATGAAACCCTGTATAGCTATGTGATATGCCTAAATATGGTTCTGATAACATCACATCATGGCCATATATACTGTAGGCACTCATGAAATATGCGAATACAACAGTTCTTTTTTGTCAAAAAAAAATAAATGTGGACAGAGAATAAGGAAAATCAACTGTCTTCAATAGGCAACTCTATACAAAGATAACTGAGATGAGGCTAAGTTTATTATCATTAATAAATTATTATTTTTATTATTATTATCAATCATCCTCTTCTTTATGATGCTCTGCATGATGGCCGGCTCTTTAGGCATCTACTTTGATGTTTTACTTGTGTCTCATATTATTATTATTATTATTATTATTATTTTCAATGTTATTACTCGTGTTACATTTAATTACTTTAGTATACATTTTGTATACAGTTAACACTATACGTTCCAAACCATAAAAGATTATTATCATATTGATTAAGTGTAACACTGCAAACCATAATTAAATATGAACTTTATTTCCTTGAATCCGTGTGCATAATTTCTAATTATAGTATAACAAATTGAAGAAGATGGGTACATGTAATATCAATGTTGCTATGTAAGCACTATCGACAATGCTTGAAATTTCTATAGCCCATTACAGTATGTTCTTAGAGCCTTTAATAAATCAACAACTAGAAGGAAAGAGAATTACAATATTATATATTATACTTAACACAGTGGCGTATTATTTATGGGGACTAGAGGCGCACACCTCCAAAAATCATGCTCCCCTTTCCCAGGCACCCCCAATGGAAAATTGCTGAACAAAAGAATTATAATTAAAAAAAATTGTGTAATATCTCCTTTATTTTGCCCGCTTAAGCCACCTCACTTAATCATCCATTGCCTCACTTCCTTCACTGCCCCACCTCCCCTCCCCCATTCCATCAGCCCTTCTATGTTAACACTCATAGAATGTCACTGACTTACTAAAAACTTAAAGATCCTTCACTATCCAAAAGTCCATAAAAAATGCTAATATAGAACTATTGTAAATTAAGCGTATTAATGATGCAATTAAACTGCACATTATCATCCATACACCTAATTAATGCATAATAAGTATGGTATTATTACTATCTTAAAAACAACTGTTATTATAATTTACTATACATACAGTATCTTCGCTCATTTATGAGTCATCATTTATGAGTACATCTTTTTAAAATCAATCTAAATTTGTCTTAATTTACATCAGAATTAGACACCTTGCCACTACAGCATAGCTTATGTCATGGTCAACACCCATTTTCATACACTATTTCTATACTGTACTATTTTTATGGTATTGGTACTGTACCAATTTCATACTGTACACTATGCATCACAGACAATTTGCATAATAAGTAGCATTAAATTTGCATAAAATTACTGTAAAGCCAATCTCCAATTTGAGATGAGAATTATAATATAGGGTACTTCAATAAATTATTCCAATTGTTTTTTGAAAATGAACAATAATTTCTAGATGTTTATGAATCTGGCCCAGATGAAAATATAGGGCATGGAGTTTGCTAGCTGTGGTAAATACCCAGTGCAAATGTACAGCAGTCCTGGCTATAAATTGTCTTAAACCTATACTAAACTGTGGCCTCAAAGCATCAGGGGGGAAGGGGCCATTGGCCGGGCCCCCAACTTTTTCAGTGATAACTGATTGGCTTACGTAATAGAGCCACATTTAAATTCCATCTAATTTAACGAAAAACAATAAAATACTTTAATTAGGCCATTTATCAAAATAAAGTTCTCTGAAGGTTAACTACATAATTTATAGTATACTGTTAATGTGTTAAAGCTTGTAAAAACTGTATTGAATAAAAAAAAAATCTTTCGAATAAAAACATCTTTCACTTGAGATTAGGAATTAGTATTTGTAAAACAAAATAATAGGTTATAAGATTTCTCTATCTGACAAATTTAGTGTACACCCTGTCATGTCGAGTGTTATATTGAACAGTGGCGGATTCATGGGGGAGCCCAGTAAGCACGGACCCCCAACCTCCTATTTTTTTTCAAAATTATAAAAAAAAAATAGAGAAAACAAACAAAATTGTATTCAACAATCTGAAAGTGCCATTTCTGGACATCTAGAGGTGCCATAATCATATTTTTTTTCTTACCGCAGCCACTACCATTGTGGGACTGAGGTGGGTACAGTAGACATTCCACTTGTGTTTATTCCGATTCCTGGACCCGCCACAGTTGAAGTATCATTTCCGGGCTACTATAGAAGGATAATTTTTATCCATTGGGGGAAAAGTGAAGGTTTCGTCGGGGAATACCCATATCAAGGATTAGCCCTCATGATAATTAATTCATTGCGATCGTTTGTTCGGAAATCAGTGGCGGCGGATTCAAGGGTGGGGGTCTAAATTGTTCAATTTTTCTTATTTTTTTTATGCAGATAAAGAAAATTATATTCAAATTTTAAATCTGAGAGTGCATTTTCCGGCCATCTAGAGGTGCCATAATCACAAATTTTCTTCCATCTGCAAAAGTAGGCCTACACAGTGGGGTCCCGGGCTACCTTAAATTGTTTTGGTTTTTTTTTGTAAATGGAGATAGAAAGAAAATTATCTTCAAATGTTATGCCTATAAAGCATGGTTCACGTCAAACTTTTATCTAGATATACATCTACTTAACTAGTTCCGGCCATCTACAGGTGCCATAATCACAAATTTTAATAAATAATTAATAACAATAGTTATTGTAAATACCAAAAAATAAAAAAAAAATTACAAAAATATTGTGCTCAGCGGACTAATGATTAGTGAGTATGAATAGCATGTACAGTATTTTATCATCGTATTACCTACATTTACAGCTGTCACTTTAAGACGTTAGCCTGGTTCACGTCAAACTTTATCTAGATATACCTGTCTTGAAACATGATACAATAATCCCCTAATTGCGTTCGATGCCAAGTTAGAGCCAGATAAAGTGACTTAATTCCTTTATCTAGCTATAATTGAGTGGTTCACATCAAACTTTTAACTTGTTAAGTGGATCTGCATATCTAGATAAAAGTTCGACGTGAACCAGGCTGTTAAGGGAAAAATCTCTAACATTATATGAAGTCAACATTAACAGATAAATCATCATTTAGCAACAAAGATATTAAATTTTAGTATCACCTTGCCTAGCAAAGTCCCTGACAAATCAGTGAGGCATACACTCTTGATATAGATAACAATATACTCCCTTACTAGAACATAAATAGGGATTAGCATCTTAAAGCTTTTTACACCTTGATACTTCTACTGAATATTCTACATATCTACAGTACGTGACCTGTACAGCTCGACATACTTTTAATCATGTTCATGCTACTACACTTGACACTTAATACATGCTCTCATTTCAGCAGTGTACTATAAGCCATGCTACTATTACTTGACACTTAATACATGCTCTCATTTCAGCAGTGTACTATAAGCCTTACTGTTAAAATGACATATGACATCATTAAAAAAAATTTATTATTCAGGGTGGCAATGGAAACACACAAAAAAAATCGGCACATCCTATTTGTACAGGACTTCTGATTGCCTACTGCTATAGTACTGTACCAGCAACTAAATCATAAGGAAGGTTTAGATTGGATTGGATTGGATTTATTGTGTGTAAATGCCAAGGGGTTCAAGTGGTGATGACTGGGCAGTAGGCCTACACCGGGAGACAATCCCCTACTCTTTTACAAGTAGAATGCGCCATTGAAACTTGCATTTAAGCCCTCCAGCTGAAACACAAGGACAGCAGCGACAGGAATTGAACCAGGGGACAAACAGTTTAGCGCACACACAGTTTAGCGGAACACCAGTTTAGCCGACTGAGCTATGCTGCACTCTCTACCTTTATAAATAAATTGTTTAAAAATAGAAATATATTAAAAAACATCAGGTGGTCATATACCTACTGAAGAGTTTTCAGTCGTATCCCACATATTAAACTATGTAGAACTGATTAATAAAACTCAATTATATGTTTATAAGAGTATGCCATAAGCCTATTGCTGGTACATTATATATACAGTAATACATACCTGAAAAATTAGGGCTATTGTCCTCCATGGAGCAAAAACAATGGTCATAATTAAATGTCTATAAAAAGAAAAGAAATTGTATGCTTATTCCAAAAGTATGCAAAGAATGTAGCTTAAACTTTGACACATTGTATGACAAAATATTGATTCAATCACAACTATTCTGTTATTGCTTTTATGTAACAAATTTTGACAGGTTCACAAGTAAAGTAATCATCCCAGAATTCATTTATTTATTATATTCATCATACCACGTTATTACTTCTTTTTTGTTGCGAAAGGTGTACCCTTAATAGGAGTTCTACAGTATTTTGCCTATCATTCTTTATATATATATAGAATAAAGTTATAACATAAGAATACAAATTTTTACCATTGTTATCAGAGTTCTTTACTTAAAATCTTGTTGGGGTGTAAAAATGTCAATGAATTCATATATTTCAGTTTATTTTATCATCCCAGAATTCATTTATTTATATTCATTTTCAATTTATCACCTATTCAGGGGATACCATGTTATTACTTTTTTTTGCGAAAGATGTACCCTTAATAGGAGTTCTACAGTATTTTGCATATATCATTCTCTATTATGTACAGAATAAAGTTATAACTTACGAATTATATGAACTATAATCAAACTAGAGTAATACATATTTGTACCATTGTTCTTTAATTAAAATTTTGTTGGGGTGTAAAAATGTCAATTAATTCATATATTTCAATTTATTTTATTAATTACAGGTCTCCCTCCAACTAAAACCACTTTTGGGACTGGGGTTTTCTCTAGCAACTTTGGTGTCATTATTTAAAGGTAAACGACATTTGTTAATTTGCGACCACAGAAAATTGGTCTCTCATTGGAAGGATGTGTAATTAAAGGACCTGTACTATACTTCAAGTCTATTACAAATAGGTATGGTAACTGGAACTGTAATAATATGACTTGAAATATTCTTTTAAGATATGCTGTATGATTCTTTGCAAGGACATTATTTAATCTCTGATGGAAAATCATAAATACAGTATATTCATCTTTGATCATTACCATTTGCAATTTGTACAGTAGCTATGTCCAGATAAAAGAAGTGCATTTCCCTTGTAAACAAGAGACAGCGTCAGAATCAAATTGTTCCGTTGACTGTAAGCTTTAAATGTTTAAATGGTGGAGGTCAGACCTAATTCAATGACATTCGATTTCAATGTTATCTCCTTTATTAAAATAAATTAAAATATCAAAAAGAATATAATATATGAATACACACCTTTTTTGACTTGCTGTTGAAAGGCAATTATTCGTTCAAATGAAGCATGAAAAAGAAACAGAATACATGAAGTTTAGAAATACTGTATAAAAATACAATGATATACAAAATACAGTAGTACTGCTAAACATACTATAAGGTAAAGTATGAATAGTCCATTAGGTAGTCCAATACAAGCTTTACAGTAAGTGCTTTAATGGGTGGTACTAGGTGGAATATAAGAAGCCAATAAGGAAGTCTTCACCTTAAGATCTAATCTTCACACCCAGCAGTGCAGGGTTCAAGGGGAGCCCAGCCATCTCCCCACCCCTAATTTTTCAAAATTATAAGAATAGTGGAGAAAAAAGAAAATTATATTAAATTTAAGTCTGAGAGTACAGTACCATAATCATAAATTTTCTTACCCTGAGACCCTCCAGCGTGAAATTCCCTCTCTGGGCCCCTTCTAATTCAAATTCCTGGATCCGCCACTGCCCACTGTTCACACATGTACATTTTATAGATATTTAGATACTTTACACCAGAGTGGAAATCTTATTTTCCTGAATTTAATGATTTCTGTCTTGCTGTACCAAACCTAATCAATTGACAAATGAAGCTGTTTTCTCCGTATCACACTATTAACAACTCCCTGGTAATATTTCCTTCATCAATGCATATTTTTCACAACTGACAAGGCTTTCAATACAAAACCTTTTACTGAAAGCATACTGATAAAGCATGTGGCCATTAATTTGAGTATGCAATGTTTTTCCAATTGATCAACTGTACAGTCCTACTAAGTACTGTAGCTTCTTTGAAAAGTGCCATGCACGTCATTTTTAGATGGGTGACTGTTATACAAATATTGACTGCTCATGAGGGGAATGGTGAAATCTATTGCCCTGAAGTGATGTGGAGACCGTAGCCTAAGATAATCTACGGTCTCCACATCATCTCGACTAGCTAGGCCGAATGAATAGATAGGCCTAGGCGATCAAAGAGTGTGTCTAGCATTCTTTGCTTATTTCATCAATTTCAACAGCACCCATCGTCTTGCAATATATTTGTTGAATATTGATAAGATATATTTAATTTTTGTTTTGGTGCTTCTGTTATCGGCTTCATCAGGAAGTAATGCTAGGCCTAGGCTAGTAATTCTTCATCTCAAAACTAGCAGCCTCCATATTTGTTTATCGTCTACTCGCTGATCCATGACACGGTCAGGGGGATAATCTCGTCGTAGAGGTCGCAGTCCCCCTTTACCTTCAGCAGCGCGATGTAGTGGGCCTAGAGTTTGCACATCGCGACAGTTCAAAAAAGTACTATTTTTTAGGGGAATAGTACTTTTTGAGGGGAATAGTACTTTCTATTGCCCCACTTCTTAACCAATCAGATGCCTAGAATCTATGTATGAGGTATATAATAAATAATATTTCATTGGCAATTTTACTACTAATTTTCCAGGATGAAGAATTAGCAGCTTGTGCTCTTTCATAACACTATACAGCTGGATAAATTATTAATTATTCGTATAAAATTATTAAATTAGGATTTTCATGGAGGCTTTATACTGTAGGTTAAAGCAATCTTTAGCTCTGCATTAAACCTGGGCTTTTGCTGGGGAAACCCTATTATGTAAAATTTATTTTAAAAAAAAAAGAGGTAGGTTTATATTCGAGGTAGGCTTACTGTATACCTGAGGAACTAAACAGTACACTTCTTTTTTCTTTTTTTTTTATAAGAACACTGAGGCTGAATTTGATTAAAACTTAAAAACAAAATAAAAACCAATTCAGGCTGAGGTAAAATGTCAAATGAGGTTTTTAATTTTTTATGTAATAAACTCTATAATACAGTACAGTAATATACTGTTATACAATAACAATTTTAAGAACATTTTTTAGCCTGATATCGGCATGAAAAAAACATAACATTGAGCCTGGGGAAAATTTGATTGGTTCACAAAGAGTGGTATTTTAACTAAACTGTTGTATGACTGACACCTAACCTTGTAGGTCTGCCACTTTCGGGTTCAGTACTAAACACCCATAGATTAAGGGGACTTCGACTGAGAGGCTTATTATTATAGTCTATTGTAATTTTTAAAATAAAGCAAACTGTGTATTCTTGCAAAATACTGCCACAGTACTGTACTTCAAATGCTTCAGTCTTTTCAGTATACTGTAGGCCTACTATTCAATTTTGTGGCCTGTAAATCAGGCGTCTGAATACTAATGCCTACAGCGGCTATTTGCTCTGACAACTGTCTACGGCCTCGTTTCTTTCATGAACTTCAAACATGTAATTCCTGCTATTGAGTTTAATTAAGGTGCATGAGGACTGTGGCTTAAATAACCAGGCTGTTATTTCTGGTTGACTGATATGCAAATATAACATGACTACTATGTGCTTTGGTTTTTTTTATTTGGCCTAGAGCATACAATTTCAGCAGTGTATTCCTACACTATAGAATCTAAAATCGTTGCCTCTTACACACCCCTCTTAATATAATGAAAAGTCTTATTTCATTTACTGGTATCCATATTCGTATGTTCGTTCAAAAAAAAAAAAAAAAAAAAAAACAATTATCTAAAAAAAAAAAAAAAAAAAAAAACAATTATCTACAATAATGTATGAAAGAAAAAATAAATTGCAATAATCAAGGAAAAAGGAAATTTCACAAACGTTTAATTGTCATTCGCATACAGAAATTAGGTTTGCTCACATAAACCTGATGAGAACACAAACGTCACCATTGTCCATGGATTCTCATACTTTGTTAATCGTGATTGAGCAATCACTGTCCCTGAATGCCAACTCAACAGACTCCGACGCTACAGTATCCCAACATTTTTCTCATGATGTGGTAAATTTAATTGAAGTTCCATATTTTTTAATGGTTCTCTTGATTTTGTATAATTTTTTTCATCAGGTAATAATATGAGATTTATTGTATACATGATTGTAACTATCATTTTGAATGTTTTGTTGTGCAAAATGCACAGTTTATTCCAATTACTGTACAGTATAATAGAATTATTAACAAATGATAAAATAATAATAAAAGACCACAATAAATGTCGAAACAAGAAGAAACATTTCTCGTTATGTTTGACCTTTATACAAAACAAGATTTGAAAAGATAAATATAAGGATCAAATGAAACATTCAGATTTTCTTTTTGATATTTATACTTATACTTTTAATCTATAGACTTCTATGTGCATGTATGAGGCAATTATAAGCATGCTGTAATTTGGACAATACATTTTTTAGATTAGAATATGAATAGGTTCCAATGTATTAAAAAGTGCACAGGTAGGACTATAAATTTCATATATTCTATCCTCCCAAAAAACCTACAGAGGCCTTATTAGTACATTAAAAATAAATGATGAAAAGAAAAAGGAAGTTTTAATACAATAGTTTAACTGTGTCAATCAATCAATCAATCAACCAATAGAACTTCTAATGACAAAATAAATATGTCAAGTTTAATTTAGGTAGCACGGAAGGTGAAGATTTAATTATGAAAATGCAACATATCAAAGGTCTTAAATGAATCTACTGGATGCCATGTTGTTGACTGATATTCTATCCTGTATTGAAATGCTACCACAAATTAATTTGTTGCCTGGAAGCCATTTACTCCACATCTAATACCACAGTGATTATACCAAAGCCACAGGGACCAATTTACCTGCCACAACTAATCATAAGACATCACTGAGTAGGCCTACTGTACAAACTTTTGAGATCAAAAGAAAGAACTGAATACTTTAGTGGCAGATTCAAGAGGAGAGAGGGGGATGAGCTGGCCAAGCCCCCTCTCCCTCCCTCCTAAATTTTTCCAAAATTATTTTTTAAAATGGAGAAAAGTGGAAAATATCAATAAAATTTAGGTCTGAGAGTGCCTCCGGCCATGAGGTGCCATAATCATAAATTTTATTACCTCAACCCCAACCATGGTGGGGCTGAGGTTGTCTGTGAAAGTCCCTCCCTGGACCCCCTCTATTTCAAATTCCTGTATCCGCTACTAATCTAATTGAAAATTAAACATGGTATGATAAACACAACACATCTAGTACTGTGTTTGTTTATTTCTGGAGAATGTTATATAAATTTCTGTTAGAAATATTTTTTGTCAAATCAAACAATAGTGTATGATCACATGATGACTATAAAAAAAATGTTTATCAGTGTTTTGAAGACATGATATATACTTACTCATTATACTCTTCGTGCCCAAAAAAAATAGCGACCTTTATGAATATTCATCAAGGTCAACAATCACGTAGCACAAATGGACATGAATTTTTAATTCATTTAATTTATTTATTTAATAAACAAAATAATTATGCTGGGAAAATTTTTTAATTATATTCAATAACAACTATATTAATGATTAAGTTATTTTGGCAACATTGTAAAATATCAAACAGATATCGGACTGAAAAATGCCATGTGCCTAATCTAGGCATAGGAAGTCAGATCACGTTCAATAAATTTTTTTTAATTACTGCATTCAATTTTTCATACCATTATAATTACTTTCAAATTCCCAAGGTCATACAGAATCAAATCTGAAATATGTCTACATTAAATCTATCCATTCAATCAATACACAGCTTGGCCTTAAACACAAAATAATGTACTACCTGTATCTGTATTTAGACACAACAATACATCATCTACAACAATTCAGACAGAACATCAACTTTAAGCATACAATATATCCGACTAATTATCAGGTTATGAAATCTATTAGAACTCAACTACTGCTGCCAAGACTAACATATAACCCTGTGGAAAGGATGGGCACAAGACTATTTTTGAGATTGACAAAAGACAATGAAAGAGATTGGCACATGATGATGACAGATTGGCACAAGCCTATAAAAGAGATTGCCATAAGAATATAAAAAAAATTATAAAGGTCAAAACTTCCAACTATTCTTCAGGTTGACACAAGACAATGAAAGAGATTGGCAGATGATGATGACAGAGAGATTGGCACAGGAGGAAGACAGA